TCGTGAGAAACAACGTTCTGGCACACCGTACCCAGCTGACACAGGAAATGAAATGGGTGGGAAGGAAATGCTGTCAAGCCTTGCTCCCGGGGAATGCTCCTCTTCCCACCCCACGCAGTAGGATGCAGGGACCTGGCCTGAGTCTACCATTCTACGTCTGACTATACGAATGCTTCCATCTTGGTATCATCCTTCGAGGAACGAGTATCTGTGTACATCATCCTGCACAGAGGTTCTTCCTTTACAAGCAAAGAGGAACTCTCTCATATCCTCACAGGGCCACCGCAATTGGGGATGATTACTCTATACCATCTCGTCCGATGAAGAGCTACCTGAGTCGTTCAACCTCACGCTAAACTGTTTGTTTCGTTCGCCCGGACCTTGCCAGCCGGGACAAATTCCGGACGGCCTTCTCGAAACCTGCAGCTCGTGCTTCTTTTGTTCCCAGTGGTTCCTTTGGTTCCCCCCAGGGCCCAACCCAACTTATCCCAAGCAGCGAGACTAGAACAGTTCGAGGCTGAACGTGGCCGGACGGTCCGGTAGCGCACTGGCCCTTTGAGAGACAAGGTGGTAGGTGGTAATACCTTACAAAGTAGGTAAAGACAAGGTGTTAGTGAGGTAGTTTCTTCAACCATTTTTACAAGCCTGTGTTGACGAATGAGCTTGTCGGGTACACCACTCCGATCATAGCTCGCACGCATTGCCATGCGTTCCCCCAACTTACCATGCGTTCGGCTCGCCGTGCCTCCGTAGGAAGCTGACATCATCCCTTGGTTTACACTAACAGCCCTGGCCCTAAGAAATTTTGTTGGGGAGGAGGAGGAGGAGGAGGAGGAGGAGGAGGAGGAGCTCGTTGTCAGCAGCCAGCCGCTGTCAAGAATTGTCTTGCAGTCAGTTAAATGCACCAATGATTCCAAGAAGTTGGTTTGGCAGAGAGCCATTGTACAATGTCGAGACCAAAGTTGAGCTCAGAACCCAGAGGCCATTCAAGTTCACCCTCCACGGTAGGCAAGGCAACGAACAGGAACCCTAGATGCCGAAGAGATCGTCAACCTCCCCCTCCCCCCTTTGGCGATGTTCGATTTCCTCAATGAAACAAGCGATGGCCAAGGCCTCTGCCCCTCCCGAGTGATTCCCGTCTGAGCTACCCTTGCCGCACCCACTCTTCCCAAGTTCCCACCCATGCTCATCCTGGCAAAGCCTGGGTTGGACCCTCCCATGCGTCCCCATTTTTTGACCCTCGGGCTTGCGACGGTACCGATGGACGAGACAAGAATTGGAAGCATGCGCTCTTCTTCCTCCACCTCCTTCGCTGCATCCATGTGCCGTTGCCGGTTCCCCTTCAAGACAACACACTACCTTACCCACCGGCAAGCTAACTCGCACACACAAGCCTTTAGAAGTTTAGCCTTGCCTTGACATGCTTGGAGTGACATTGGTCTCCTTCGGGGGGGGGGTTGCCTTTTGCAATAAAATGATACCCGTCCCGCCCCCCTTGCTGGAGGTCTCAGATGCGAACATGTCCCTCTCTGCTCGTTTCCTGTTAACTTTGGCATTCCACCCCTCCTCCCATACATCCCATCAAGCTTGCTTGCCCCCCTCCATCTTCTCTCGAGAGTAGTGAGAGAGAGAGCTGTATGCAGCATCCCAGTGACCTACCTACCTTGAGAGCTTCGGTTTTAGGTTCCCCGGCGGCTTGCTCAACTCAATTGACCTTAGGTTGAACTGCGCCAGTCCAGTCCTGTACCTTACACCAAAAGCCATTGGGCTTCTCACGGGGTCTCGTACATAAAAACACCGTAAACAGGACCTCCGCGACTACTACTTTACTGTATCTACGGACCCGTCCCCTCTACGCGCGCAGCCATGCCCAAGCTCCCCTCGCTGGTCCCAGCGGCCGTCGCCAAACCCCTCTACCGCGGCACCGAGCTCGTGAGAGGCGCCGTCGGCAGCCTGACCTGGGGACCGGCCCTATCGGTAGCCAAGCCCGCCATCCTCTCCGTCTTTTCAAAGATTGAGCGCGGCACCCTCCTGCTCGTCGACGAGCCCGCCGAGCTCCGGAGGGTATTTGGCCAAAAGCTAGGCGCAAAGTACAACGAGAACCTCACCAACGGCGACCACGTGCCGCGCCGCGCCGATGCCGTGCCCCGCGTGGAGCTGGTCGTCAAGAGCGATGCGTTCTGGATGCGCCTGTTCTTGTTCGCTGACATGGGGTTCGCCGAGTCGTATATGCTGGGGGAGATTGAGTGCAAGGACTTGACTGCCTTCTTTCAGGTCAGTACACTCGCAAACTGGGGCGGGCCTTATGGTCGTGTAGGGGTGGTGTGGCTAACTTGACACGGCGTCACAGCTCTTCATCGTCAACCGCGAAGAAATGGGCAACGGAACAACCTGGATATCGAGCTTGTCCACCACCGTCTCGAGCCTGGCGCGAACCACAAACACCCTGTCCAACGCCCTCCTGAACATCTCGGCGCACTATGACATCAGCAACGACATGTTCGCCGCCTTCCTGTCGCCGGACATGACCTACTCGTGCCCCATCTGGAAACCGCAAAGTAGCGCCGACGACCCCAACGAGCCGGAAGAGACGCTGGAGCAGGCGCAAATGACCAAGTTGCACCGCTTCATCGACGGCGCGCGCATCAAGCCGTCGGATCACGTGTTGGAGATTGGCACCGGCTGGGGTTCCTTTGCGATCGAGGCGGTGAAGAAGACGGGCTGCCGCGTGACAAGCTTGACGCTCTCCAAGGAGCAAAAGGCGCTCGCGGAGGAGCGCATCGAGGCCGCGGGGTTCTCTGACCGTATCGACGTCAGGCTTACGGATTACCGAGAGCTAGAGACGCCGGGCAGGCCGTTTGACAAGATTGTGTCCATTGAGATGCTGGAGGCCGTTGGTCAGGAGTTCCTGGCGACGTATTTTGCGCAAATGGACAGGTTGCTGAAGAAGGATGGGGGTATCGCCGTCTTCCAGTGCATTACGATGCCGGAAGGTCGCCATGAGGCGTACTCCAAGGGCGAAGAGTAAGTCGCAAAGCAGAACCCATGAAATAGGGTCGCGTGCTGACAGACTGCAGTTTCATCAACCACTACATCTTCCCGGGAGGTTACCTCCCATCGATCACTCAGCTGTTGAACCACATCAGCAAGGAGTCCAAGGGCACTCTCATTGTCGAAAAGGTGGAGAACATTGGTGGCCACTACTCAAAAACCCTGAGGCTGTGGAAGGAGGAATTCCTCCGCAACTTTGATTCCAAGATCCGTCCGGCGTTGAAACGTGAGCATGATAACATGACTGAAGAAGAAATAGATGTATTTAGAAGAAAGTGGGAGGTAAGACACGTACCATCATCCCTCTTGTGGTATTTCTAAGCTAATCTGGCCATGCAGTACTACTTCACATACTGCGAAGCCGGGTTCCGAACAAAGACGCTTGGCGACGCGATAATAACCGTTGGGCGCGAGGGTGCTCTGGAGTTGATGGAAGGCATTCCGCTATGAAGAAAGTGGACATAACTGTTGGAGGAGACAAGACCGTGTCATAATTTTGAAGACACGGATGCATGAGGCCCCGGGGTCTTGATGAGATTTAAAGCAGCGTAGAGGATAAAGACTCATTTCTTTTTCTTGGACTTGTTAGACTTTGGCTTCGAACTTATCGAAGCACCTCCAAATCGAGGAAAGCGGTTGGCGTGATCCACGTCGAATGCGGACTTGTGTTTCCTGAACAAGAGCATCGTCACCCGCGCATCTTCGATACTTGAGTGAGCACCGCCTTGGATGGTGACCTTGAGCAACTCCTCTGCAAGTCTTCTAAGCGCTGGCTTACTGCCGTTGCCGTACTGCCGAAACCCAGGGTGCTTGGCCGTATCGCGAATGTCTTTACTCGGATGACTGAGTTTCAGGCAGTCCAGATCGTGCTTGATATCGTGGGCAACCACTATCCTGTCTTTAAGGAGCGCGGCGACTTCCTTCTGAACCTCGTCGAAGTCCCGGGCAAATCTCATGTGCTTAGGGAGGATCCCGCTCACAGCACTTCGCCAGTCCGTCACCCGTTCTTGGGGCTTCACATACGAATCGTATACTTGGCGTCCGTGAAAGTCAACGATGCTCACACGAGCCAAGACGGACTCGTATCCTCCATCTCCAACACCAACCATTTCGCAGTCGATGGCGATGTACTTGCCCACCTCGATTCCTTCTATGAGACCAGAGTTGATCTTATCCTTTTCGGATCCGAGCATGGAATTGTTCTTCAGCCCGAGACCGTAGGCCTCAGCCAGTGCTTCCGAAGAGATGTCATTGTCTTGGGCCCAGAGAGCGAGTGACGGCGACGGGCCGACCTTGGGTTCGACTTCAACCTTTGAACTTTGTGCAACACCCATGCGTCCGTTCTTTGTTTTTACGGCCTTTGGGGTGTGCGTAGCTGGTCCCGACGTTTTGGAAGCAATCTTCTTCTTTTTGGACTGTTGTTGGTCCGAGGTTGAAGATTCTGCCTTTCTCTTGACACCCCCAGACGTCTTGGCTGGTGTAGTTGAGGAAGAAGACGGGCCTGCCGCTTTGAGTTGTGCCTGGAGCTTCTTCCAATTTGATGACAGCTCAGGGGCCATAGTCTCTGCTTCCGAATGAGATATTTTCGGATATGACCGCTCGTGTATCAGCGAGAGGAAACTATGATGTGTTTTTCAAAATATGGAAAAACGGTAAATGAGAAACTCTTGGATGTAAAGTCAGCGATGAGAGTCGAGCCCAAATGAGAGAAAATGGAAAAATGCACTTATCGAGGTCGGGTGGAGTGGAGTCAGCGCCTGGGCTAGCGCACCTTTCTTGCAAGGGTTCACGGCAATTTCTTCACCGCCTTTGGGCAGTTCGCGCTTTCTGCCACACCACCTTCCTGTTCCTGCAGCAATTCAATCATCTTTTGCGACCGAGAACAGCAAGCCGATTTTCGCATTGTACCAACATCCATCAACTATCAACCACCACATCGAGTATTCATCATGGCGGCACACGGCGCCAATGGCGAGGCCTCTGTCGGCTCCAGTGAGCCCCGACAAAAGGGAAAGGCTACCCCGGAAACAATCAGGTTCGTCATCCCAACACCCCACCATCTCACCCGTATGGCCCCTCATGCGATGTTTCTCAATTAACTCATCGAGCGCAGAGCAGGATGCATCGCCATGGTCAAAAAAGAAGGCATCCCCCGTCGAGCCGAGATTCTCAGCATCAAAGAAACGAAGAGCGGTCGCCAATTTTACTGCAACTTTGACAATTTCAACAAGCGTCTCGACGAATGGGTGCCGACGATCCGAATCGATTTCGACCAAGATGTCGAGTGGCCATTACCCGACAAGGACAAACCGAAAGATCCTAAGACGAAGAAAGGTGTTGCCACCTCAAAAAATAAGGTCTCAAAGAAATCTCAGAAGCGACCTTCGAAGAGGGAGCAATCTGCGCCTTCAGAGGCCGCGACGCCGCACCCATGGACCGAGTTCGTCGAGTCACAGAGCCGTAAGATGACGCCGACGGCCGAGGAGAGCCAAAGCCAGACCCCGGCCACAGCTACGGGCGATGCAACGGCCACCCCCGCAGCTGGAGGCGATGAAATGGAAATTGACCTGGAGGAGGAGGTCCAGAAGAAAGATTTACTCAGTGGCTTCAGCCGAGAAGACGAGATCGAGAAGTTGAGGACACACGGCTCTATGACGCAGAATCCGGCCGAGATCTCCCGAATTCGAAATATCTCCAAGGTCCAGTTTGGAAAGCACGACTTGTTCCCATGGTATTTTTCCCCATACCCTGAGGTATTCAACCAGGAAGATGTTATTTTCATCTGCGAGTTTTGCCTCGGGTACTACGGCGACGAAAAATCCTTTGTTAGGCACAGGCACAAGTGTACTCTGCAGCACCCTCCTGGAAACGAGATCTACCGCGACGAGTCTGTCTCTTTCTTTGAGATTGACGGCAGACGGCAGCGCACCTACTGCCGTAACCTGTGTCTCTTGTCCAAGATGTTCCTTGACCACAAGACACTATACTACGATGTCGACCCCTTCTTGTTCTACGTCATGACGAGTCGAAGCGATAAGGGCTGCCACATTATCGGTTACTTTTCCAAAGAAAAGGAGAGCGCGGACGGATACAACGTAGCTTGTATTTTGACTCTGCCCCAGTACCAGCGCAAAGGTTATGGTCGATTGCTCATCCAGTTCTCGTACGAACTATCAAGGATCGAAGGCAAGCTTGGTTCGCCAGAAAAGCCGCTTTCTGATTTGGGTCTGCTGAGTTATCGGCAATACTGGGGTGAGAACATCTTGGATCTCATTGTGGGTTACAATGAGCGCGATGAGAAGACTACGATTGAAGCCATCTCGACGGCTCTTGCCATAATTCCGCAGGACGTGGAGCACACCTTACAGGCGCTGAAGATGCAGGTGTATCATAAGGGAGAGCACAAGATCGTGATTCCCGAGAAGCTGATCCAGCAGAGGGAGAAGCAGAAGGTGAAGCAGAAGCGATTGATTGACCCGAGCAAGATCCAGTGGAAGCCACCAGTATTTACGGCTTCTACGAGAACATGGGGTTGGTAAAGAGGGTGTGTCCCTTAGACTGGTGTCAATGACGAGGCGTTTGAAAAGACATTGATTTTGGAGCATATGATACCCTTACATTTTACCACTACCTAGGAAAGGAATAAGTTTCAGTTGGACCAATGAGTCTTCGAACCAGAACATATTTGTTGAACTTGCCGGTTCCTTGATGTGCCGCTATGATTGCGAAATGCTGCGTGGGGCCAGCGCATTTCCTATCTTTGGGGCCTCCGCATTCGGAGGCGGCAACCTTGAACTTCACTCTGACATACAACTATAAGTAATCAATACCTTGCAGTCAACCAAGGTCGTCGCTAAATTCCATTAGTGAACCAAAAGCTCGAGCGGAGGTGATGAAGCATCGCGTGACAACTGTATCAAAACACCTTGCTCAATTACCTCACCACCGGCGACCCCTCCTACACGACACCCGCATCTCATCAACTTGCGCGACCAGTGTAAACACTCGCAAGCTGCCATTGAGTTTTGATCCACACTCAGCACCTCGACGATCCTTCTTCACCTCGGCAAATTCTCTCTCATCATCAAGCATGAACGCCCCCTTGCACAAGAAGCCAATCAACCTCCTCCGAGGCTGGCCCTCGCCATCCCTCCTCCCAGCCGCAGCCCTCTCCGCCGCGGCCGTAAAGACCCTCGCCGACCCCGCCGCCTACGTCCCGGGGCTCCAGTACGGTCCGGACCCGGGATACCAGCCTCTCCGCGAGTCCATCGCCCGCTGGCTGGCGGCATTTTACCCCGCCGTCGACCCCGCACCTCCGTCTGCCGCGGATGATGCCACCACCACTACTGTCGCCGCCGGCCACCACGCGCCCGATGTACGGCGCATCTGCGTGACGGGCGGTGCAAGCCAGAATCTGGCTTGTATTCTGCAGTCCTTTACTGATCCGCTCTACACGAAGAATGTCTGGATGGTGGCGCCGTGCTACTTTCTCGCCTGCCCCATCTTTGCTGACGCTGGGTTCGACGGACGTCTGAAGGCAGTTCCTGAAGATGATGATGGTATTGATATCGAGTACTTGAGAAAGGGGCTCGAGGCCGCAGGAGAAGGCGGCGATGAGGTGAGCCTTTTCTACGATGGGGCTGTTGCTACAAGCAGCGTCTCCCACCTTCACTTCATCTCATCGTGAAGAGCCTCACCTAATGGTATCAACGATGAGAAGAGAAAAGTCAAGGAATACCAGCTAATATCAAGCAACAGCACTTCAAAGAAGCCAAAAAGAGAAAACTCTACCGCCACATAATCTACCTTGTCCCAACCTGCTCCAACCCAACAGGCAAAACAATGTCCCTCCGCCGTCGTCACGAGCTCGTCCTCCTCGCCCGCAAACACGACGCCCTCCTCGTCTCCGACGACGTCTACGACTTCCTCCAATGGCCCCTCTCCACCCCTCCTCAGCCAGGCTACACCCCCGAAATGCGCATCCCCCGCCTCGTAGACATCGACCGCAGCCTAGGCGTCCCCGACGCCTCCTTCGGCAACGCGGTCTCCAACGGCTCCTTCAGCAAGATCGTCGCCCCCGGCGTGCGCACGGGGTGGGCGGAGGGCAGTCCCGCGTTCGCGTTCGGTTTATCCCAGACCGGGTCGACCTGTAGTGGTGGGGCGCCGAGCCAGTTGGCTGCCATGATGGTCGCGGAGCTGCTTGAGAGCGGTGAGCTGCAGAGGCAGCTTGATCAGGAGACGCGTCCCGCGCTCGCGAGACGACATGGGGCTATGATGCAAGCGATTGCGGAGTACATCCAGAAGCCGCTTGGCGAGGGTGTCGTTGTGCGCGGGTCGGCGTTGAAGGGGGCTGAGGTGTTTGGCGGGTACTTTGTGTGGTTTAGTTTGCCTGAGGGCATGTCGAGTCGGGAGGTTGCTGTGAGGGCTAAGGAGACGGAGAATCTTGTGATTGGGCATGGTGCGCAGTTTGAGGTGCATGGGGACGAGGATGCGGCGAGATTTGATCGGGAGATTCGGTTGTGTTTCTCGTGGGAGCCGGAGGAGGATGTTGTGGAGGGTGTTAAGAGGTTGGGAGCGGTGTTGAAGGCTATGAAGGATGGTGTTAAGTGGAAGTCCTCGAGTACGCTGGACGTAGATAATGTCAAATAAAAGGACAAAAAGTCAGTGTTTTATCCCTTACGACAAAAATTCACGTTGCAAGCTTGACCAATACTGCTTTGATATGAGGTGCTCGTTCTGTGGTTACCGTGTCACATGGGCATAACTGATAACACTTGATCTTTTTATCCTCTGAGAGTCTAGACGGCCCTGCGTGTGATAAGTAGGCACTCTACATAATTGAAAAAAAAAACGTGCCGGGGGGGGGGGGGGCCTCTGAAAAAAAAAACATTCACCTCACATGATGAGAAGGACTAAAAGGGGCTGTGTGGAAAGTTGTCGTAAGCAAACATGTTTTGAATCTCAGATCTCCTTTCATGTGGCAACCGCTCTCATCGCGTAGAGTTCCTTCTACGATATAGGTCCAATGCTATCATTTCGTATCAATGCCTGGTGGGATATATCTCGGACCTGCGAGTTGTAACTTCTCATCCTTAGCTCTAGCCGTTATTAGCATATTCAGGTGTATTTCAGGGTGCTGGCAAAGGGCGAGGGACGAGAGACAGTGGTGAGGGCGTTTTCTTGATAGCTTCACTGAGAGTTAGATCAACCACAAGTTACCTAGCGATAAGTCAAACGAGAAACAACTTTCAGGTCCCTTCAGCATATTTCGCAATTACCAGACCTCGGACGTAGGGTTGCTGCACATTGGCGGCTCCGGTGTATGATCTTGACTCTACATAGAGGATTGAGGTGGTTGCCAAGTGAAAAACAATACGATGAAAGCCTTGAGATGAAAGGACCTGCATTGGGAGAAGTCTCATCAAACAGCGGTGTTTTCTGCAGAGTATGTGATCAGCAATTGCTTCATCTGCGATGCGAAAAGTTCATCTACTAAGCAGAGGCTAAATTCCACGGCTAGGCATAGAAGATCCTTTGAGATGAACGTTGTTCGCTGATTTGTTCCTGTTAAATCTATCTAAGGATCACTTCTACAACGCGCCTAAGTGAGGACAGGCAGGTACAGACAGATAAAGGCGCAATTCAAAACGTCTCATACCGGTAGCAAATCAAGCCAGATAAAATGAGAATGAGCAGGCTCTCATAGCCAAAAAGGTCAGACCCAGGGGCGGTATACTCATAAGCTCATCTTCAAGGACCTACATCTAGAGCTGGGGATAATCCCGTGGGCAGACTTTCCGCCTCCGCCTCGGCTGTTGTGACTGCGTTCGATATATTGGCAAGGCACATAGTAATCTCACATCTGTAACAATATTGAGCAGCGTTGCGGCTTCGGCATTGTGGCTTCGGTTTGCGATAAGACTGAGTGAATGACATCGAGAGCGCCTTTCCCGCTTCGCTAAGTCTTTTCACCAGCCACAAAACAATTATGAACAAGGTCTTCGGAGAACACGATTCTAGGCTCGTCCCTAGGTAAAAGAGGGCGCAGCGAGATGGGGGGCAATCAAGCACTAGAAAGATCTCGTGGAGGCTGGGATTTGAAGGCTTGAAGCACGGAGAACTGGAGACCATCGAAGTGCGGGATATCGTCATCGAGAATGGGGGGTTCCCAAGTCTAGCCTTTGATGTCGGCAGACTCTCCCTCGATGGGAAGTGGTCGGAAGAGGCGTGTGGCTTGAGACGGGGTCTCATCGTTTGTGAGGCATTGTGGTAATCTGTGGCGGCGGCGGTGGCCCGGGGTTAAACTCGTTGCGGTATGTCTCTAATGGGTGCATTGAGTCTTGGTCGGCTTGCGGGTTTGCCTCGTTTCTGGAGTTCGGCAGATGCGTATACAATGGAGACTTGATGGTCAAGCTATGGGTCGCGAAGAATTTGTCGGCCACATCATCCCTCTCCGGGGTAGATAATGGTGTTTTTGGAATTATTGATGGAGGAGAAACGAATTACTCCAGCAATACGTGATTATACATCGCTTTCGCATTACAAGAACACAAGCATTGGAGTCATTCTCGCAACAAGACATTCACCATATCCCTCAAAACAACCTAGGTTATATGATCTATCTATAAGTAATCACAAAATACTAGAGTTTACCATAATCACGAAGAGAAACAGATGCCAAGACTCCGGGACGGTGGAGGAGGGGGCCGCATGTACGACGGACGAACCCGACACCTCGGGTCCCCCACTCCGCGTCCTACCCTGCAAGTTTGCAACCTCCAACGGGGAAGACGGGTGGTGATGGATGCATGGACAGCAGCTTTCGCCGCAACAGCTGTTACCAAACCACCGGGATCCCAGCAACGTCACTGCTTCATTTTCATCCTCTAACCCAGATATCATCAAGCTTGCGGGCTTGAGGCTCCAGTAGCTACTTTCCTCTTACTTAGGTCGAAAAGCATAATTTCGCAATCGCTTGTTTCTCTAGTTTCTCTTCCTCGATGTCCGCAAACGTAAATAACAGCCACCGTACCTGGGAAAGGCTAGACCCGGGCCCCCGATCACCACGTTAGTAGCAAAATAGTCCTTCTTTGATCTTACCATTTTTGCAAACAAGGGAACGATTCACTTCAACCATGAGACATAAACTCAGTTTAATTATCCGGGGCGGTCGACCCCAGATGAGTCCTCCAGTCCCCCTCTTCCTTCTTTCCCCCTTTCCATATGAGCCGCGAGGATCGAATAAAAAGTGAGCCAAGAGGTGAAGCATCAGAAGACTAGACGCGGGAAATATGTCGTAATGCCTCCTTGAATCGACGAACTTCTCCTCCCGCCTGCAAAGACTGCTCATGGACAACGAGTCCTCCGCATCCATACTGTAGTCGAAATCTACTTGAGCTGTTCTTTCGATGGCGCTTCAATTGGCGGATGGCCTGCCGGACTGTGCCGTGAGTTTGCCTCCGTTCTCTGATACTGGCCTCTGAGGTTCGGGTATGGGGAATACTTCGACGTCATAGGGAGCTGACGATATCCTCTTTGATGCTTCTAGATACCGTGTCTGTCGCAGGCCGTCAACATCACAACATGTGCCGTCACCAACTTGACGACAACATGTCTATGTCAGGATAAGCCCGCCGTCGAGGCCTTTCGCGTCTGTATACGTGCGGTGTGTGACTTGGAGCAGTCTTTACGTGAGATGCCCCCCTCCCCCTCTTACAAGCCATGATGCACCTCAGCTAACAGTGATGCTATCCAGTCGCCAAGAACATCACATGGACAAAGTGCGGATATCCTTATCACCATCAGACAGATTCGATAGCCGGCAAAGTATCGCTCGTGATCATCACCGCCGTCTTCGTGCTAGCGAGGATGCTCTCCAAGTTTCTGAGGCTGTCGACGTGGGGGCCGGACGACTTCACGTTGATATTGGGATACGTAAGGGCCCAGCATCCTCTCGGGCAAAGAAGTTTGCCGAACTGTTTTTTACTTGAAGACGAAACGACTAATGTCTTTTGTCGTAGTTGTTCTCTATTTCTTTTGCCATTTCCAAGTTTCGAGGTAGGCCTCCCCCTTTCGACACTCGCGATGCGTCGAGGCATTCCAATGAAGGATCTCATTTAACAGAATATTAGGGTATCAATTAGGCATCGGTCGAGATATATGGACTCTCTCCTACGACGAGATAACTCGCTTCATGCAAGTAAGACACTTCCCATCACCACCACACCCCGAATATTCTACAGCAGCAAACATGCCGCAGAAGCTCACAAACCAACTCGAAAACCGGCAGGTCTTCTTCGCCTTCGAAGTAATCTACACCCTCTCCATCTCCGCCCTCAAAGCCTCCATCCTCTTCTTCTACATCCGCGTCTTCAGCATGGTCAGCCGCACCTTCAGCCTTGTCCTCTGGCTCACCCAGGCCTTCAACTTCTTGTTTTGCCTCGCCTTCACCGTCGCGAACCTGAACCAGTGCCGCCCCTTCAGCAACGCCTGGGAGGGCTGGGACGGCCGCCACCCGGGGTACTGTATTAACGTCTACGCCATGTTCATCGCGCACGCGGCGATCAACATCGCGCTCGATGTGTGGATGTTGGGGTTGCCTGTCACGCAGGTGCTGTGGTTGAATTTGAGAAAGAGGCAAAAGGTGGAGATTGTGGTCATGTTTTCGTTGGGTGTTGTGTGAGTTTGGCCCCTTTGGTTGATACCTATATTGTCGCTAACGCCTCATCTCGCAACAGCATCACAATCGTCAGCGCGGTCCGTCTAAAAGTCCTCCTAAGCCTCGAAGGCTTCCAAGACCCAACCTGTAAGCCCTCCCTCCCCCAACGCTGCGCCAACTCCTACCTACCTCATCCAACCCCCGCGATGCTAACCCCCTTCTTCCTCGCTACAGACGACGCATTCTACCTCCACATGTGGTCCTACATCGAACTCTCCGTCGGCATCATCGTCGCATGCCTCCCCTCGACCCGCCAAGTCTGGCGCCATCTCGTCCCCAAACTCCTCCGTCTCGTCGGGCTGGGAATTCCCAAACACCACCACAACCACCACCACGGCCATGAAAGGCCGGGTGACTCAGCAAAGAATCTTCGCGACATTTTGTTTATGAGTACGAACACAGGAGGTGGTGGAGGAGAAGAGGGAGGTGAGGAGGAGCATTCGTCGTCGTCGGCGGGACCTTCAAGTCCGAGTGGATCGTCGACTCGTCGTCAGGAGGTACACTGTAATTTGTAATATATACCCCCCCTTTGTATAGTGACTCGTTGTTTGTTTCTACAGTAGAGTAGAGTTTGGACATCGGCCCCATATTTGGATTATTGGCCTCATTAGGCAATGTTTGGACGTTGAATGTTCTCACCTGGTAATTTTCATCAACCGACAGCGAGGTGATACATGGCCTTGGCAACATTTAGAGCATCCCAAGCAGCTTCGTAAATTCCGTCAGCCCAGGGGGGCTTAGTAATTACTCATCACAACTTCACAATCAGGACGACATCAATAGAGGCACAAGTGAAAAGCGAGTTTTCATCATTTGTTTGTGTATTTTCTGAACTGCAATTACCCTGGACGTCAACTGCCCTCAAGCAGCTACTGTCTGTCCTTCCGCTGGCAGTGACCGAGTAAACGCTTGTGTAAGAAAAAGACACTCATCCATTTCCGAGTCCTGTAATCTCACCTCCTTTGCACATCAGGTGTTTGTAAAAGACCGCGTTGCCCCCTCCGATACTCCCAGGACACCCGCCAGCCAACCTTCCTTTGACCTCCCGGCCGTTCGTTATGCGTGTCATGGTTATGAATCGTACGAAGAAACACCGGACCTTGGTCAACATGACCAGCGTTCCTCCCCTCTGACTTATGTAGCCGAGCAAAGGGGGTTCTCGTATTGGGTTGGAAGTGTTGTTCAATGGTGGGAAGATGGAGCTCGCGTGTCGTGAGAGTGGAAGAGAAGAAAATTCACCAAAAGACTTCGCTGTCGCTTCCATCCGCCCCATTTGTCCGCGTCTGGGCCAAATTTCCCGGCCGGTCAAGCTCATATACCGACCGACCAAAGCGATTCGATCAAGTCAGGGTCCGTAAAAGTCTGAAAACGCAAAGCGCTCTCTGCGAAGATAATCGATTTTTCGAGATGGTACACACTGCCTACCGCTCGTGGCGGAGCAGTTCGGGCATGCCACAGTAGCAGCATGCGGAACAATATTTGTGCGGTGTTCGTCGGCCGTTGATACTGCCGGCTGCGATTGGTAGTGTATGTTAACCTCAACAAGTCAACAAAGTTGTGTAGGGTTTGAAGTTGTAATGTGGACAGCTCTTAGGCTGCCTGCGTGGGCGTAGTCCTGCGGGACCAGTTCTCGGACCCGCGTCCGCGGTAGCCACCGCGGCCTCCTCGGCTGGGGGGAGGTGTCGAACTGCTTCCTTCACCAGAATACGAAGGCTCCCGTCCCTTGCCGCCACGATGATTCGGGCCCGATCCTCGCTGCCCACCACCACGCCCACTGGATCGTCGTGGATTGCTTCCCGATCGAGAGAAAGGAAGTGGGACAGTCCTGGCATCACCCATACCGGGAAGAAGAATGCGATAAACGCTGCCGCTAGTAGACATCTCATGGGGGAACCACAGGGAACGAACAGTCTCGACATCGGAAACCCAGAAACGCCTCGGCAGAGGCTTGATCGGGGTGGCAGCAGGTTGCCAAGCAGCCTCCGGAGTCTTATGGGGTAAATGAATGCGTGGGAGCGACCCCATTTCCTGCTCCTCGAAGCATTCCTCTGCCGGCGGCTTTGTAGTGAAAGACTTCACATCGTCTGATACGTTCTGGGTGGCTGAGCGAGGTAGAGAGACGGTAGCCGGATTGTAGTGACCAGAGTAGTCGAGAGCACTTTTAGTGACAGGCTCGACACCAGGTGCCTTTGGCGGAGAGTTTGGCTTTCGACCCGTGAGTAGGTTGTTGATCCTATCTTGCCAATTCTCGTTTCCTGCTGAATCTTGCGACCGCTGGGACACGTGGTTCTGCTGGTGAGGTCCGCGCCCATGAGTTCCTGGACCATCTTTGTAACCGGCTGGGGTTGCCCAAGCAAACGGCCCAGTAGATCTGGGTGCCGCTGACTGCGCCGCCGCAGCTGAAGGTGGTAACTTGACAACGGGATGCGGTCGGGGGAGAGATACGTGAGGGTGCATGGCGTCTCCATCGAAGGCCGGGTGGCCAAGCATATCCGGGGGCGGCGGGGAAGGCGAGTTAGGCCTCGATGGTTCCGCATGAGAAGCTGTGGAATCATGTCTGTTGTCCCTGGGAGGGAAGAATCTAGAGGAGCTTCGAGATTGAGTGGCGGCCGATGGTCCTGTGGGAGGTAGCACAGATGAGTGGTCGACAGACCCAGCAGCGCGAACATCGTGGTGAATAACGTGTGCAGGATCGCGTCTTCCATCTCCAGATGGGCGCCAAGTGTCTTTGATCGTGGCTTGAGCTTGTTCAATAGTGAGCCCGCGCTCCACCAGGCTCCGATCACGCTCGAGGCGCTGCGATCTCTTCTCGTCGAGTACTATCTTGTCGCCTTCCAGAACCGAGTGAGCCCATCTATTTCTCATCTCGTTCACTTCGCGAGCATTACCCGTAGTAGGACGAGCCTGGGTGACCGGTGGAATCTGAACCTGCGCTCGCTGCGCGCTGGGTGGTGCGATGGGTGCTGGGCCCTTTCCTGCTGCTTGAGGCTCTGGCAAACGGCCCAAGTCAGTATTGAAGGTGCCGTTGCCCAGTCCGCGATCATTGTTAGGCGATCCCCAGACGTTACGAGGAGCCTGAGGGCCAGCCGCAGCCGCGCCCCAAGTCGGAAGCCGCTCTTGTTGAGGCGTAGGTGCAACCCATGAGTTGGGCTGCCTTGCCTCCGAGCCACTTGGTCGTCTCGCATGCTCTCCGCCTGCGGTGACGGGTCTTTCGCCGTAAGGCTTGTCCTTGGCGTTGGCGGGAGTTGAAGGGACAGCCGATGTATCGGGACCCGCGGCAGGCGGCTGTGAACCGGCTTCCTGGCAAGTGGAACCGTCTTGTCGAGATTGCGCCTGTGCTGGGGCCGCGTTGGAACTCTCTGGTGAAGCCTCCTTCTTGTCACTTTTGCGTTCTGGGGCTGGCCCCATGGCTTCCAACTTCGCCGCAATGCGCGCTTTCCTCGCAGCTTCCTCACGAGCCTCCTCTTCGCGTCGCCTCTGCATTGCCAATTCGCGTTTCTCACGCATGACCTTCTTCTGCATCTCGAGATCCTCCTCCAATCGCGCCATCGGTGGCGGTGGAGCTGGTCTTCCGTCTGTCTGAGGGCCAGCTGAGTGTAGAGTGGCATGGTTGGTTCCGGGGGATGGTCGAGGTTGCCACTGCTGGTTGCCGTGCATCCGAGGACCATGTTGTAAGCCCGAAGGCGAAAAGTTCCGCGGGGACATGGGACTTTCAACCGAGCCAGCCATAGAGCCCCTACGAGCACTCAGCAGGTCCTGGGGAGGACCCGGAAGCTCATGTCCCTTGCCTGGCCGTTGCAAGTAAGATCCGCTACCACCGCTAGCAACAGAAGATCCACGGCGCCTACCCATGGGACCGTCGGGCACAGAGTTCCTGCTCGTTTGGAAAGCGGCAGAGGGCCCCGGATGATCGGATTGGGACGGGCGTTGTAACACTGCCGGCTGCCTAGGATGGACGTCAGATCGGAAGGAGCCTCTTCGATCGGCCGGGACCGGCTCATATCGCCCAGATTGCGAGTTAAACAGTTCTCGGTTTCCGCCCGGAGGACCACCTTCTCTCCAAGCTGATCGGTTAAAGTCATCAGCAGCAATCTCCTTGGCATGGTAGGGCGGAACGTTATTATTAGTCGCGTGGTCTCTCGGGGGGTATCTCGCGCCTTGCTGAGGAGCAGGCGGCCCGGCGATGACTGGCGGAGGAGCCTTCTCGACGGGGGGCAGAGGTGCCCAGGGCGATTTCACTGGCGTCGGAGGTGCAGGTGGTTTGGCGACGAGCGTGGGCTTTTCGGCAGACCCAGCCTTGAGGATGAGCCCTTTGCCAGATGCAAGCCCGCCAGTCTTAATCGAGGGCGAAGCGGTGGTTCGAGGCGGTGGTACAGGAGATTTCGGTTTCTCCAAGACCTTCTCTTTCGGTGGCGCAGGAGTCGGCTCGGGCGGCGGCGGCGGCGCAGGTACTTCGTCGGGATGCGGGAGGGTGGTCTTGGTACCATCGGTCCAGGTGATGGTCTCGGGCGCCCAGTCGTCGTCGTCGTCTTCTATATCTGCCCAATTTCCCTGTGCCGACTGTCCGCTTTCGGGGGCAAGACGGCTTGCCATATGGATACCATACTTCTTAAGTTCTTCATCCGTAAGCTTTTTGGGTTCCGGGGTAGGGACAGCTGAGGTTCGTTATATTAGCACATGACCGCAACCACCCTCAAAGACCTAGTAGTCGCCTTACGTCGATTCTTGTTCCATACTGCGCTGGGGTCAGGGCCGGCGGCAGGCTTGGCGCCGTTGGCAGCCGCTTTGAGTCCCGGTGAAGAACCTGTGCCAGTGCCCGACTTTGCGACTAGCCTCGGCCGTGAAGACAGAGTCGAGGTTCCTGATGGCGAGGAGCTCAGGATCGAGGTCGAATTCGTCTTTTCGCCGGGTTTGGTCGCCGAGGAAATGGTAGGGCCCTTTGATGCTAGGAAGGTCTTGTTGACCGAGACAGCCTTGAAGGTTGCGGGCTTCTTGACGGCCGACGACGTCCTGCCGTGTCCCTTTTCTCCATCTCGAGCCGCCCGTGATGCCTCCGTATCCGACCCTCCACTAACACTAACATCTGCTGAATTGAGTTGATCTTCGACACCGGTGATGTGCTTATTCTCTAAGTCATCGACGGCGGGACTACCGTTCAGTTTCGCGCGATTTGGACCGACATTTTGGGAGTCGATGTCAGCGTCGTTAGTCTGTTCGGCGGAGGGTTCCGAAAGGATCCTAGGTTAGCCAAAGGGCAAGCGACAGAGTGAAGGGTGAGGTTCGCATGGGGTGGAATGACGAATGAAGACGAGTGAAGAGGGGACGCGGGGATCATCCGGCGATGGGGCAGGGCGCCAGCGGTGTGAGGCTGGGGCTGCTGGGGAGGAGGGGAAAAGAGGGAACTCACGAGCTTGGGGTCAGAATGGACAGAAGCATCAACGGGGGCGGCGAGGGTGGCTTCAGTTGCCATCATACGTCGTCGGATGTTCTGCGCTGGAAGAGCGAGGTTTGGCTT